CTTTGAAGAAAAATCCAATAAAAACATGTAGTGCTTACCTCATTGCAATTTGCACTTTAGCTGTCCCAACTGCTTCTGTATCATCAGTGTCAAACACCATCACTTCTGACACACATGGTCTGAAAGAAAACAAAGACAATTAAGGACTTGATTTCTCTCCTATCCAAGTGCTAGCATTTAGGTGATACAAGATCTTTTCTATTCAGGGGTTGGGTATACAGATTTTATAAAACCAGCAGCTAAAAAAGAAAGCTCATTTAAGAAGTGCGATCATCCTTAAAGGTATGTATTACAGTGCTTATCAGCAGAAAGTCATATGCCTTTCCCCTTCACTGCCAAAAAAAGCCACACAAAAAACTCTGCGAAAAATAAGGCAGTAGGGGATTTTTAAAGGGTTTCCTTGACTGGATTTTAGTAAAGACAGCTGACTGCCCAGCAACATAAATAAGACTTAGGAACTGCAATCCCATCCTACGTCACAACAGCAAAAGTTCTCAAATTTGATTAAAGTAATTCCTTTGTTTCTTAAAGAAATCAAACTTCCCTAAGCACATTAAAAGTGACAGAGTACACGGGCTGGTCTTCCTTGAAACAGCCACCTCCATCATTTCCCTCCCAATATACTCCTCCTCCGATGTTTTACGCACTGAAAGTCCCCAAAACTACACTCACTGTCTAATTAACTCAGAGGCTATGCTGGAGCACATGTAAACAGGATCAGCATTCTTCTCCAAGTATTTTCCATATTACTTATCACTCTCCTGTATTTCATCACATTTCAGCTACAATCATAGTGCTCATCCTACCCTCAGCATTTATTACAGGCATCAAAATGATACTGCAGTCATTACGGAAGTTGGCAAGTCAACAACCCAAATAACACTTGCATGTCTGATGCTACGTAGTATGATTGAGATGCCTTCTGTAACTGCCACACATTATCCCTTCTCCTGTCTCCACAGAGCTCCTCGTCATGCTGAGGGGACACAGGGGCCCTAGTACACCCAACTGTGTGACAGCCTGGCTTAGGCCCATGAGGTCTACAGAGGCATTGCATGTTCTTGTCAAAGTGAACTGTGCTGTAAACATAATAGATTACTCATTTATCTAGAGAATTTATGAAGTGAATGAATGAATGGGGGAATATGAGATGAGTAATTTTTCATCTCTACAGTTGTGTCTTGCAACAGATGACCTCATAATTCAACTCAAGGCCAATAAAAACAGTAGGAAGCCCCATGTCAGATGCAGCCAAACCAGGTATCGGTAAGGTCAGTACCTTTGAGTCAACTTTTTCTCAAACCACCCTAGATAGCTTTAGCAAATGGTAAGGAAGGTCCAGAAACCCAGCAAGAGCAGTAATGTCCAGCTCTGGCTGTGAACTATGCATTCAGGGGGAGAAGTCCTGCAGGAACACATCCTGGAGCTAAGCACTCAGGAACTGCATTCGCAGCGCATACACATCCATGAGGCAGCTCAAGGTGGTTCTGCTGCCTGCTTGAATCCCAAAAGTCCTCTCACACTGACTGAGGGCTGTCATTGACACCAGAACAGCTGACTGACAGGAGGGGAACTTCACGCCTGCCAGATGGCGCTGCTACCCCTGTCAAGGCAGCAGTCAGGGCTCACCAGCACCTTCAACACAGACCAGCTGTTCAAACAGTTCTCCGGCAGCTTGCTTTCAGCTTCTTCTATTATGGGAAGCATGGGTCACTTTGAGAATCAAATTCAACCTGCTCATAGTTTTTTTTCAGAAGCATTAAGAAATCTGAGATTGAGAACTTGAGCCCCTAAATGACAAAAAAGACTGTCTCTGGCATTATTTCAGCTGACTCTTGTGTGCAAAGCGGAGTCATTAGCTTCTTCCTAGAGAGAGAGCTGATGTCTACCTTTGTACAGACGCCTCGTACACCCCACTATCTCCAGCAACAGATTCATCAGACACTGCAGCTGACACACACGCCACCTTCAGTGCTGTCCCTCCAGCTGTATTTATACCTATCAGAGAAGCACAGAGGAAAATAAAAAACAAGCGTTAATGAAAATTAACTGTCTGGATCAGGAGCAGCTTTTTTTTTTATCCTCCTGAACTGCATTTTTTTCCCCACCCACGTCTTGTTAAGCAATAGCACATTTCTGAAGACAGAGAGGACTCAGGTAGGGCGGGCTGAGCTCAACAGCCACCATGAAGTCAGTGCTTCAGGAAGGTGACAACTGCCCAGGAAAACAAAAAGCCCCTGGTCAACCAGAGGAACAGCCTATGTGGTGGAGGTGAGAGCAGCACTTCATTGCACACTCGATGCCCATTTAATACTTGGTTTCATGGTAGCATACCACAGGCTGAGGTTACACACTGGCTGTACCGGAGTATGTTACAACTGGCTATGCTCAGCACCTCCATGGGTGCAGGTCCTCACAGGCAATGCGAGGAGAGGCTTCCAAAGCACCAAAACCCATGAAGCAGCAGCAGAACTTCTGAATTCTAGTGAAGTCATAAATATGAACCAATAAAACAAGTAAAAGTCACCCTGCAGGTAGCAGGCCTTCTGGTCTTAGACACCCAAAAAGCAGCAGCAAGGAGAATGCTAGTGACCAAGCGTGCATTATGCTTAGAGTTATATCCTACCTGGAGAGCTTGTACCAAGTTTAGCTTCAAGGAGGGGCAACAGCAAAATGAACACCACCTGACTACCCCTGAACGCAAAAGGTTAGTATACACAGAGAGAAGACATTTCCAGAAAGACTAAGGTTAACTAGCTAAATATGGAGAGAAAGAGACTTAGGACTAAAAGTAGCAGCCGCGTGCAGAGAGATAGGAGAGAGAAACCAAAGAAGTTGAAGCAAGGAGTTCTGCACGGAGGTGTTATCTCACAGACTTGTGCTACAACACAGGGAAATACATGCCCTGGAAACTTCTGCACCTTTTCACTTGAACCATCACATTTCTGCAGAGATATGCTTCTGCTAAGGTGGCTAACAAGGGCTGAGACATACCCAGCTCTTGGCTCTCCCTCTCTGGTAGGGAGAAGAGGTGCTGTGCTGTCACACCGGGAGCAGCTGTAGGGTGGCAATGCACTCTTCTCCAAGGGGCTTTCATCTTTCAGAAGGGGCCCCTCTTTCCTGTAGCCTTAGAAAAGTACATGCCCTCAAACCAATATATGGTTTCCATTCTCTATTTTCTTTATTACACAGTAAGTTTTGGTTCGGTTTGGGCTTTTTATTTGGTTTTGGTTTGGGTTTTTTTGACATTGCTTGGTTTTTTTTAAACAGTTTCACAAAGCCACTTGAAGAATTAAGAACAGCTTTGGAAAAACATTGGTGTAAAAAGTGTGCGAGCTCAACATAGGGTTACAGAATAATACAAGGACTTGTACAGACAACAGTAGAGAGTGCTACAGGTAACACCAATGTGTGCTATTGGGGCCCATTTATCCACGTATTTTTTGACACCACCACTGAATCTCATTTTTCATCTTGGTATTTCCAGAAATAAAAGTCCAGACATTTTTCCCATAGGCCAAACCATGTGAATAAAAGTTAGCATCTCTAACACAATGTATCAGTCTTCAACTGAAATAAAAGGATCCATTTTACACCAGCATTCACAGTTTAATCGATTTTCCCTCCTGCTGCATCCAAACGCCTGGCCCCATCCCACTCTTCATGCTGGAGGTACGCACACAGGGTAAAAAACAATGTTTCTTCTTTCCTTAGTGCTCCTTTGTACCTCCTATTCCATGGTTTTAATATGAAAATTACTTCTTTCCTGCTGGCTGGCTTTTTAGATCAAGTTGTTTGAGTTTATGCGCTACTCCCAGAAACTCCCTCCATGCGAGGCTTCCTTCCTGGGAAGGACACCCCAAGTAAGACTCCAGCAGGCTCAACCTCTTTTTCTCGTTCAATTGCCAATGCCATTTAGTCATTTTGATCCAGAAACTATTCATTCTTTACCACTTCACCCGAGCACCTTACAGCCAAGGGGAGGCGAACACAGAGAGTCCACAAAACCCAGCAATGAAGTGGGTATCTGTTTGTACAGCGGAGTGCTAAGGTGTAAACTCAAATAAAGATGAACGTGTTTCCCTGAAAAGGGATTCATCATGCAGCCACCCTTTTTTTTTTTTTTGCAAAGGATGTGGAAGCTCTGCAACTCTTACACACACAGTGAACCTGTAACTTTTTCATGAAGCTAATTAACACAAAATTTGAATTTTCTGTTTTAAGTTTTGGGAATAATTCAGAAATTATTCTACTCTCTTCCATATTTCCATGCAGGCAGATAGCACTTCCTACAATTTTTCACCTTTTTTTTCCACTCATGTCAAGAATTTAAAGTTTGTTCTTCACTTCCTGCCATTTCCCTTCCCATGTGCTCTCCTGGACACACCACAACAAGGCCCTGAAGAACTCTGTTGTGCGCTGTCCTCACATCTGTGCCACTTCCTTGGACAATGCCAGACTCTGCTAGGCTCTGGGTTTTGCTGTTACTGTCACCTACATCGCTCAGGTATCGCTCAAGAAATCTTGAGAGGGAAACTGTATTTCAGCCTCAACGGTAGCAGGAACATTTTCTTACAGAATCAAAAAGCAAAGCCCTCAGACATATAGTGTTCAGCTCTACTTACAGGAACATGTGAGCATCCTCTGCCCATGAGGCCAAATACTGACCTCCTCCCCAGATTCAGCCATCCTGTTTTGGGTGTTACGCTGAACCCCACCCCCGTCAGAATGCCTCAGGAGTAAAATCTCATCTCATTATTGCCCTGAAATAAACTACTTACAGTGATTATTTTGTCTGCTGACTGGCTAACAGCAATAATCACTTAATCTCCTTAACACCTCAGCTTTCACTTTAACAGCCATGGCAAATCTTGAAGAGCTAAAAAGGTTACAGCTAATCAGCACCCTGTTCTAGTAAGAATAATTACTGTTTCCTACTCAAAGGCATAACACCTTTTGCTTGTAGGAAAATGGCAACTCAGAGTGGAAGAACTGGATGCATAACTTTTATTGTATTTTAAATAGTATCAGCCTTCCTAGTGCAGAGGGCAGTGATAGCACAGTGCTAGTTCCCTTTATTCACACAGGCTGCTTTATAAGCTTCTGAGAAACAGAAACAAATTGCACTACTACTTCATATGACTATAACTTGCAATTTATATTGCCTTTAAAACTCTTCTTCACTGCAGTTACAAATCCAGGCACTTCACTCACTGGATTTAACCCAATGACACTCACAATGGCTTAAGACAGGCCCTAGCATGAGCACCCTGCCCGCTGCTTCCCATCTGCTTCAGCAGGGCCACCACACTAAAAACGGATGAACCCTTCCCACCCAGCAATGAGCCATATGCATGTGTGAGAACATCCACTACCTCTACACATCTTATTTTATCATGCTCACAATCTAAACACATTTTTGTTGCTAAGAGACCATCCCCCTCACAAGAGCAGAAATTTAAGCACAGCCTTAACGTGCCTGCTCAGCTGAAGTTAATAAATCTGTTGTCACTGATTTACTGGGAACCAGAGCAAAACATTGTGTATGCTGATGTGGCACAGGGAAGGACTTCTATTATAATTTGTTAACTATTACATTAAATGCCTTTCCCAGTCTTCCCCAAAAAAACTTGGCCAAAATGTTTCTGTCAATATGACATTATATGCCTCCCAATTTCAGACCCAAAACACCAGATGGCATTCTGGATAGTTAAGTGCCAAATTAAACCAGGCATCCCACCGCAACCATTTATATTTGCACAGGAAACCCCTGTAATTTGTGTACACATGCACATAAGTACACTGAAAACACACCTAGATACAGTCTTTTGCAAGACTCATCAGATCAGCAGTATTTTTTTACAAATAAAAATAAAACCCCTTTCTCCCTAGCAAGGCAGAACACACCGTTGAATACACTTTTATACACAAAGACGACTGACAGCTTTTGAAATACTTGCTTCTCAATCATTATAAACTACATTAAAAATAAATGCATGTATGTGTATGCAAATATTTTGTTACCATACCTTGACCTAGATGTTTATCTTCTTCTCTAGGCTCTTCCAGTCTATAGATGCCACTCCCAGTGTTTAGGGTGAGTTCTGAGAGATTTGTATTTATCTCTGCATCATCAAAATCCATACGGCTTGAAAAGGCATCGCCAGTTAGGAGTTGGTCTATCATCAGTGGAGAGCAAGGTGGAGACGGAGAAGAGAGAGATGACCGTGGAGACAGCGATGTCATGGATTTTGGAGTACCAGACAACGATCGCAGAGCCTGTATGCGACTAGTGGTATCTGCTTTGAGAGTTTTTGCTACTTCATTTTCACGAATAGTGGTGATACAACCTGATGGTCTAAATCCAGTGGCTCCTTCTAAGAGCAAGTCAAGCTTGTTTTGATAGTCCAAGTCCAACTGCTCCAGGTGTTCATAGTAGAGATCAGTGATACTGGCTGAGGTGGACGAGTCCTGGCTGGAGGTGGCAAGAGATCCTCTGCTGGATGCAAGAGAACCAGGACTGCTACTTGAGGAGAGGGAAAGCATGCTGGTGGAAAGACTGAAGGAAACAAGTCAGAAAACCATTATACCGTATCTCCTGTTTTCTCAGGAAAACACTGCAATGTCATTAAATATCTCAGCCCACGCAGGACATTATGCTTCATTAGCTTAGGCCATGTGCATTAGTTCTCACAACAGTCCCGTACCACAGTCTACTCAGTGCAAAAGTTGGCTCACTTTTCAATAAAAATAATATAGTACATACACGTTTTTCTACTCACCAGATCAACCTCATGAGAGTTCTTGCTTAGCCAAACTAACACTAATGAATGGTTGCAAGTCAGTTAAAATTAGTGACAACATTCTCCACCCACACCTGTCTGGAAAAAAAATTCTATAGTTTCTGTTAATCTCCAAAGCAGACCACAAAAGCAAGCAAGGCCCATGCAAAAAGATGAAAGTTACTGCAACGAACCATCTGCCCATATGGAGATTTTCTTCCATTTGCCACAATCCCGGACCCCCAGCCAAAAGGCTGTATCACAGCTGCCCAAGCTGGCCCTCAGAGATGGCAGCAGCCAGCAGCTATCAGAAAAGTGGTAGGATTTACCTACATGAATAACTGCTACATGGAATCCAGGGCCAGCAGAGCAAGGGAAGGAGCCAGCGCTGGGCTGTGAAATCAGTTTGCACAAATTATTTGTCCCTAGAGATCTAGTTTCAGAACATAACAAAAAAATTGACAGCAAAATTAATTTTAAACAGGTGCTGAATAGAGGTCTGTTCCAATGAGAAAGGCCAGACGCCACTACACACCATTTTCTGCTCGGGAGACCCAACAAATCCTCCAGTATGGACTACAACATTGACCATCCCTTGAAATTAAAGCAATGCTCCTACTTCAGATATGAAATATGTTGCTCATTACCGACTGTTTAAAGACTCCTACCCTTCACTTTAGATCTAGATTAGCTATTAAAAAAATAACTGCATATGTATAAGTAGTTTATGTTGCCCCACTGAAAAACAGTGAGTATGTTAATAAGCCTAATAATCCCCTATTTATTATTTATGGCATAGAAGCTAGAAGCTGCATTCATATAATTACGCCCATGACCTTATGGGAAACAGGCAAGTATGCAGAATTTAGTATAATTTTGGCACAAAATGTCTTCTGCATTAGTATGACAGATGTGCACTGCATCATGTTTGTTCAAAAAAAGCTTTTGGCTGAAACATGATAGATGTTTTTTCATTTTGGCAGTATATAGAGATCTTGCCAGGGCTAATAAATTTACAGCTTTTCAATGTATTTCATTATCAAAAGGGAGAGGTTTTTTATTAATCTTTTCCCTGAGCTCAGCTTCATTTCGAGCGTACCTTTGAATGCCAGACATTTTGCATTCCAGGGTTAATAACAAATGCTTATTCTTATGAAGGAGCATGCCAAGAACACTGGGCACATAGTTAGGAAGAAATTAGTTTCACATGCTTCTTGGTCACCTCAAAAGATCCCTAATCAGCTAGATGAAATGAAAGTACATTGCATTTCCACTGCATAAGAGCATCACAGATAACTATTCTCCATGGTGGCTTATTTACATGTCAGTCTTGCACTATGATTTCCTTCCAGTCTTTTCGGTGTCATCTACACAAATTGAAACAGAATCCAAGTGGAGCAGAAGCTACAAACAGAGTAAATTCAGTACAGAGCGATAGAAAAAACCTCACCCAAACAAAAACTCCACCAAACTCTTTCTAATCAAAGAGATAAAACCATAGTTTTAGCTAATGATTTGGCCATACTGCCTGCAGTCATGCATTTGTCTGAAAATTTACTCTTCCAAAACTACAGCCTGAACAACTAGACCACATTACAATTGCAGAAAAATTTCTATATACCATATGAACCCCAGCAGAGGTTCATATTCTGGGATATCTCAATACATTGTCTACAATTGCAAGCAATAGCACACTAGGAATTAACTTAGATAAATACTGTCATTATACTCTCACATTAATGTGTAGGTGCGTTACTAAGATTCACTTTACTTGCTGAGTGTTAAGCTATCTTTAACATACTGTACTAATATAATACTTTAGTAATTTAAACATTATTAAAAAAAATGTAAACGTTACATGTCCAAAACAGAAGGGATTGTGAAAACCCCTCCTGTTGTCAGACACAGGCATCACCACAAGGTTATCTATCCCATTCTAAAGCACCCATCTAAACCGAGTGGGATGTATAACCCTCAGGGCTTCTCTTTCCATTGACTACACAGGGGAGTCTTAGCTCACTACCAGAACTGAAAAGCCTTTTAGACCTTTCAGGTGAGAGATGAACTTGTTAGAGAAAAGCAGTTACACCACAGGCACGTAAAGCACCTACAACTGCTGTAAGAAAAGTTACGTACCTTTTCAGTTGAGTGTGCAACATTGCGACTAATCGCGTTGTTTCTTCCAGTTCTCGGACTAGCTGATTTCTTTTGCTATTCAACTTCAATCTAAGAGAAGATAGAAGAAAAACAGGAGCTAAAGCAGCATTTACTATTTCAAATGAGGAGTAAAGGAAAATTCTGTTTTTTTCCACAAAATCCTGTAAGAGTTAATAAGAATACACAGTATAACATAGGACAGAATTTGGTCAAGATGCCTATGAGTTTACCGATTTCCAATACTCCTCAGATGTGGAACTCAATCCTGAAAACTTTCATAGCAGGGAAAATAATTACAGCTGGTACTATAAAAGTTACTGTTTCAAGGATCAGGCCTCCAAAAACACCCAGATTTGCTTGCTATATGCTATTGCGTTCTTGTGCTTACTGTGCTAATAAAGATGTAAATGCTTTCACTTGATTTCAGCAAGGCCTATGGATGACTAAGGTCTACATGATTTAGTTATTAACCACCTCATTACAGCTTCACAGGAATTACGGACTTTAGCAACATCTACATTTTATTTCACACATAAATTGGATTGAGACACAAACTTGGGTGCGCATTCTCTAACTTAAAGGGCCTTCAGACAAAAAAAAAAAAAACCACATTCTCCAGAAACATGCCATTTCTTTGGCACGCTGTAACAGGACCTTATTCCTAAAAAAAAAAAAATCACAAATAAAAAAGTGTTCATCTTACAGCAAGACCAGAAACATTTGCTGAACCACAGATATTTCAGGCTGGTAAAAGTCCTCCAGCTGAAACAATTTTTTGCAGCATAATAAAACCATGAAAAGACTAGGTAGAAAATTGGTGCGGTCTGGACACCGAGCATGTAGAAGAAATAAAAAATATTGAGCCCCAGCACGATTGAATGCAACACTCCTATTCCACATACATTCAAGCAACTGCAGCTAAAAGCGGCATTGCCACAGCCACCCACGTTAATACATCCATATTGGAAAGTGCTTGTAGGCAATGTCTGATGCAGTATTCATCCTCACTGCACATTCCCATGAGATCTCCCCCTGCAACACAAGTAAAATTAGGGAGGATAGCTGGCATTTTTTTCAGCTAGATCGGATTCACAGGATATTCCACGCCCTGTCAAATACCAGTTCCTACAAGAATCACACACAAGGATGCTCAGAATGAAGAACAAATTTTTAAAATCTAAAATTCCATCTGTTGACATTTACCAAGCTCCAGACTGCACAGCAACTGTAGAAGCTGCTGCAAGAAGCTGGCTGCATACATAAATGGTATAGTACACTAACATTATCCTGGGCTATTTTGAGTATTTCTCACAGAGGATCCATTTGTGGGAACAACCACCTTTCTCCACTTGGGGAGTAAGACTTGTTGTGAGTAAAAATGGTCTCCTTGGAAGTCTGAGGACACACTTATATCAGGATCCAGCCAAGGGATGTTGCTGCTTGTTCCCCATTACCTCTTGTCCAGCGAGGCGAGCTCTGCCCTATGCCCATTGACCCACCTCTCAGTTAGAGCTTTGCTCTGAGTGTCTCTAGCAGCCTGAAGGTCTTCCTCTAGGCGCCTTCTCTCTGTCTCCAGTCTCTCCACCTCTCCTCGAGTCCATTTTCTGGGGCTAATAAATCGCATTTCTTTTAAGAGCTCCTCCTTCTCATTAATTAATATGAGACGATCCCGCTCAGAGTCCAGCATACCAGGCCAGGCCTCACTGTCAAGCTTAGCCAGTTGTATTTTCAGGTTTGCTATTCTGAAGAAAGAAAAAAAAAAAAGCAGCAGTTATTCCATGAGGAGCGTCTGTGCTTCTGCTCCAGCCACGTACAGGTCCACCACAACCAACCATGTCTTCTCTTGCCCTGAAGATGACTCTCGGCTCAGGGACAATGACCCTTACCCTCATGCCCTCCTTACCAGGGCACTGTCAAGTGATGGCATCGTCAGAAGGCTGACATGCAGAATGGGATTTTAATGCAGGTTAGCTTACCATTGGGAGTAAAGTCTCTAGCTAACCTGCAGCATCCACCAGTCAGGGAACAGTATAACAGAAATTCTAGATTTCGAAAAAAGCTGTCAGATACACTATAGGGTATTCAATATGCCTTACAGCTAACAACCTCACAGTACTTGGTGTGGAGAGTATCATGCTGTGTTTATCTGATCTTTAATCAGTTTTATCAAAAAGAACTGCATACTCTCCCTATATGATTACGAAAGGCTGACATAGACCAGTGGTTACTCAAAAGTTTAGTAATTAATTTTGACTTTAGAATGAGGAAGTTAATCATATGCATGCTGCTACTGGAAGAATCCAACTACTGACTCAACACTAAGCATTTTGGACACATTAAAGAGCTACGCTACTTCTGGTGCAACACACACCTGACAATGTGAAAAGTCTAAGAGGCAATACAATCCTACCTACATCCAGAGCCACTTATTTGCATGAAAATAAAAGTCTACTTTCATTCCAGATTTCAGGTTAAAGTCTGTATCACTAATCCTTCAGCACAATGTCACACTACCTGATGCAGAAAGACAACTACTAAAAGCAGCAGCAGTGCAGATCTAGAATTAAGCAAAAGCTTTGAGTGACAGCAGAAGAGAGCACACCTCTTGGCAGGTAAGGAGGCCGCTCACTCCAACTAAATGCCCATTCCCAGTTTTCCCAGTATCTGAACTGCTTGGTTAGCTCCACCAATGATCAACTTTGCAATGCAACATACAGAGGAAAGCGAAAAAACAGCAGCAGGCCAGGATACAGGACTAAGGGCAGTCACGTCTGCCTTCCCAAAGGAAGCTGTCTGCTTTGACCTCATTGACCTACAACTCGTCATGACCTGCTAGGGTGATCATAGTGGTTTGATAAGAAATAATAGTACAGCTAAAGTCGAATAACAGTTACCAAGGACTTGCATTTCTGGAAGTTGCACAATTAAAAATGATCAAGTGGAGAGCAGGGAGTGGGAAGGGCTGAATGGGCTGGGGTAGAGAAACTGCAAAAGCTCAGAAGGCAAACAAGGAGAAGCAGTAATCTTGCAATATAAGGCACGATATTTGCAAAAATAATTTCCTGACTGAAGGCCAGAGAGCCAAGGCATACATGCACCTTCATGTGATTAGCTCAGGTTAATCTCTCACTTGGGTTTAGTAAATACATAAGAAATGGAAGTGACATGCTGTACGTGTAAAAAGAAAGTCCAATATTCACCCCTCCTTTGAAAAGGGCTTTGTGATCTGGTGACAGAATTACTGGGCTTAAACTGGGCACAACAAATAGTTACTGGTACTAATCTGGATTCTTCTCTTTCTAGAACTTGGTTTATGCTATGGAAACACACAGGATGGTGCCCACTCCCCCCAGCAAACCAGCACACATGCAGGCACAGAGCAAACCAAATGCCAACCAGCAAGATCAGTGTGGAGTAAGCAATAAGATGCAGATCTGGGCAGTGGCAGCTACATGACTGCTGAATAGCCTTGAAGAGTAAAGCTTTGTCTTTTGAGCTCTAGAGGCCAAGAGGAACTCGAGCCCCGAGAGCCTGTGCAGGATTCGACTTCCACAGGCTGCCCTGACTCCTCCTTCACCAGAGGCAGACCGAGGCTCACCATTCTGAAGGGAGGTCTCACTTTCCGTAAACCCATTTCCCACAGCAGGTTGCTTACTCTAATTAAAGTTCCATGATTGATAGATATTCAGCTTGATTATTTTTATACCTTCTTAGAAGCTGTTTTGGTTTTGAGTACTTAAGTGCAACACTGTGCTCCAATGAAGAATTAACAGTGGCAATAATTCATAATCCAAGAATTCCTCTGTGCATTTTGAAGGGATATGAGTTTAAGAGGATTGGCTGGTATTAATCTGATCACTTTTGGCATACATTTGCATGGATATGGCTTTTCCACTGGAATTTGTTCTCCATGTACTTCTGAGTCTAACAGCTTTGTTAAACTACCGAAGTTTTACACTTTGTAAATGATTATTCTTTTTCTCCTTCTCAGTTAAAAGGAGGTTTATGTATTTCACTTTTTCAATAAAACAACATCATTATAAAATAAGTGCTTTGCAGACTGTCTGGCATTCGGCTGAAAACTCCAGCCCCTCATCAGACTGAGTCTGAATTGCACCATTGGGTTGGACCATGTTGGGTCTGCAGTGCAAGGAAACCAGCAGCACTTGGGTCAGGCCGTCCAGTCTTTCTGAATGGCCACAAGCTTGCAAGACTGAACAAAACACGGAACAGGGAGCTCAAGTCTTATTTAACCGGTTTCTTCTTACATGGAATAGGTAGGTAGATTCATTGTCATATGAAGTCTTTATTTTTTTTTAAATTGGGAAAAGCTGATACTTATCTATGATAGAGGCATAACAACATTTTTAGTCTTTTTGGAGATCACTTAGAGCACATGCATCTCCACAAAAGCATTCTTTACGATGTGGATCCAGAAACAGTAATTAATGATCCTACATCAGGCCAGCCTCTGTTCTTCAGGAAAAAAAAAATTTAAAAAAAAAAATCTCGAAGTGGGAGGTGTGGTCTAAGAAGTGACCAGTCAAATACCCACTATTGTTGCAATGCTGCTAAATATGACATTTAAATATTTCATCTAAGGAAATCATAAAATACACGTTTAAAAGCCCAGCATTACCACCAGTCACACAAAACCTTAATGGCTGAAAGTTTAACTGTTGAAGGAATTAAAACTGTGCACAGAGTGCAAGTGCTACACAATTGATTCACTACTACATGTCTGAAATTTTACAACATAATTTAGTTGCATCTCTGACTACATTTCTGCTGAACTAGCTATCTCCTTGTAGAGATGTAGCACTGACAGCTCTTTTGACATGATGCCCATTATCAGTTTCCAAACCAATTAAGCTAAAGGCTTGTCACTGTGATTGTCCTTTGTTCTTTTTTGCAGGTTTAACATCTGCTCCTCTAAGCTCGTCTCATTGCACTGTGAAAGAAAAGGACTTAGTGGTGGGTGGGTAAGGAAAGACGCAGAATTGTACCCTGGCAGTTTGGCACGGTAAGGCTCAGCAGGATACTCACCTAAAGCTGTTCCTTCAGGCTGCTTCGCAATACTACGGTGTCCGCTACAATCCACTTTCAAGATCATCAGCCCTTTATAAATCTAGTAGTTCTAACCTAATTATGTGGGATCATCTTGATTTCAAGTCCTTAAGTTTTACCTTTCCAGATAGTACAGAGCTAGTAAGACATATGCATTTCCATCATTTGACTCCCTTCATAATACGTGCATGGACAAAGTGCTTTTGGAACATTTTAAAAGCATGCTGCGGGGACAGGAAACACTTCTAAAATCACAAGAAGGCATTTTCACAGACGCAGAAAGTTCCTTGTGAGTCACTACATCCATTATATTGTTCCAGCTTAAAACCAGTTAAGGTATTTGTTTCTGCAACTCCTACTAAAGACTATGCCAAAACCACAGTGGTCCGATAGCTGGAGATCTTTTCATTTTAGTATCAATTATTCATTCTTATTCAGACCCATCTTTCCTCATGATTTTTTTTTAAACTCTGAGAAAATCTATCTATAATTAAGACAGATACGAGGTATCAAACCTTCTTTAACTGCAAGACAGTATTGTATGCCCTTCATCATTCCTTCAAATGAACTACCATGCTGCCTTTATAATAAAGTCCTGTCTCTTTTTCAAGAGCACATTAACTACCTTCTCAGCTTTGCCACTATTCACTTGCCCCTCCTTGGAAAAGACACAGGCTAAACTAAGAGTGCTCCCCTTCAATGTTAAGATGTAAAGTCAGCGTGAATTAAATTGCAATCTTGAGCGAGGCTTAAAAGTAAAAAGCAGTTTTAACATAGAAAAATTAACTACTTCATCTGGGAGGGTAGTAATATTGTTTTAAAAGGTCACAGAAAGATTTGAATATCAAGGTATAAGTTCATTTTGGACTGGCAAAATAGACAGTTCTGATAAAATTGCTCCATCTAGGAAGGAAAGTGTACGATCATGTCAAAAGAAGCTGCGTACACAGAGTCTTTGACAATTGCCACAGATACAGATCAAGTGTTATGTCACTGAGAAATATTGCCTATTGACCATGCCAACATACTACAACGAGAACATAATGAGTAACTTCAGCCTTAAAGCTCTTATCTCTAAGCAGAGACTGGAGAAACATCCTTCCCTTCAGATATATCTTAAGTACAGATTGTATCATGCCCCTGAAGTTTGTTTTTCTGGAACTGCAAAGTCCTTTTAGAGCAGTTAAAATTGAAATCACCCCCACAGATGGTTACATTATCGAACAAGGACTAGCCCAGCCAAAGACTATACGTTGCTTGATGGTTTTTTGTTGAACTAGACTATTTATCCATAAAAATACAGGTACTTTCTAAACAGTTGAGTTAGCCATTATGTATTTAAAAAGTAAAGCCCAGAATACTTTTGCTTAAATGAGCTTCCTAAGTAGATACAATCTTTTAAAATCTACCCTTCAGTCAGATCTGAAGGCAAGGGTGAAAAGCTCAAAAATTATAGCCATAGACTATATTTTGATATGTTAGGTGTTAAGGCAACATACATTTCTCCTTATCTGACTTAAAGCCATACAAACATTCATTTCATTTTAAGTAAGGTAAGGAGATGCCTTGCAGTAGTCTCCTTATTAGGAATGAGGAAGGATTGACAACAGGCAGCAAAACCACGTATGTCCCCACAGGTGTGGCCAGACTGAATTCCTCCTGTATTAGTCACTCCTTAGTAATTTCTAGGATGATTATTATTTCTTGAATGATAACATTGGCCCAGAAAGCCTATTGCCTCACTGGCTCAAAAATTACTACGTTTGTTTAGCAGTAATGCTGGGTTTCAAACTGAGTGGCACCTCTTCTAGCAAAACCTATCTTCAGAATAAGCTCCGCGACAGTCAAAAGGTACAACAGTCCGAAGAATTACCTTCTCTTGGCTTCTTCATACTGCAGGCGTAATCTCACTTTCTCAGCCAACTGGTTGTTGCTGCTGGTAATAAACTGAGACATAAAATATCAAATTAGCAACTTAGTCATCACTCCTCTTTTCATATTCCCTGTTGAAACTGATGATGTTACAAGTTCCACTCGCTCTTGTTAAACTTATTTACTAGTTAAACCAGTCACAGAATAGGAAAATACATTAATATTGATTACATTTTTCACGTTTGCTTGAAATACTTAAAACCTCACAAGATTCAGAGGCTCTTTTTGGTCTAGTTTATCAGAAAAATAAGTTACCACATTTATCTCAGGCTTCTATTTTCATCCACACACAAATCACTTTGTAAACTTTCTTCTTGAATGCTGTTTGCAATCTTTAAGTGCTGCGTTGCATTTTGTTTTGGATGACATCTTGCTTTGGCTGTAAAGTCTTAAAGACAAGAGACATCCCATGATGCCCAAATCTGCAGATCTTTAGTCACATGTGTGGCCCTGACTGAAAGTCTGGCTTTAAACATCACGGCTGCAGATGTTTAAGGTTCACAGGAGAGGCTTCTGTGATGTCCTGAGAATAGGATGGACCCACAGAGCCAACTGAGTCCTTGCGGAGGCTGGCACCAACCTGACAGTTATGATTTTGTTGCACAAGTGGGACTTAAGGTTTATGAGTACTACACATATCAAAATCACTGAACATATGCTATCGTTCTCACTCATAACATTCACACTAACAGCGGAACACATTCTGAAAGGAAGAGCCTGCATTAGGCCTTAGCTCATACACACAGCTGTTGAGTATTTCTTATCTAGGAGCATATCACTACTATAAAGAGCTAAGGGAATATTTGCATCACAAGAAGCTACACCTACAGGCAAAATAAAACTTCCCTCCCTTTTATTCCCACCTGGGTTGGGCTCATAGAGACAGCGGGGAAAGAGCACGTTGTCTTTAGAGGTACATTAACACGGCACACAAAAATGAAGGTGACACTGAAGTTTAAACCAGGAGAAGGTATCATTTCATAGATACTTGCTCATGCTTGATAACTCATGCTAAGGCAGTGCTACACATAGTTCAGAGGAATGTCTCCACCTGCAACTGGTTTCTTACACATTACTCACATTTCCTGAAACATCCGTCTGGGAGCTGACATCCAGGTACTGCCGGGGTAACAACGGACTGGATTTTTCCACGGACACACTGCTGGCCCACAGGTCTGACTGGGATTCTCTGTCATTCACAAAGCTGTCTTTTAACCTGGCTAGGCTCTAAAACCATAAAAAGTCATGAGGTAAGCTCACTTCTGCTCAAAGTATCTCAGCAGTTACATAGCACTAGCAGAAGTTGCATGATTAAGGTCTGACCATGTTTACTGCCTGCTCTCAGACCCAGCAAGCGCGAGGTCAGGCATGGCTGGACTGCACCTTCCACGGCATAGAGTAGCCCATAGGCACTAGCCCACCATCTTGCCTAGACAGACAGGCTCTGTCATCCTGTTTCCATACCTGAATGAGGTCTTGTTTTTCCTTTTCCCCTGATGTGATGGCCTTCTTGAGAGCTTTCATTTCACTTAAAATGGCTTGTGCCTCATCAAGTTTGTAGCCACCTTGAGTATCAGACATTTTCATGTCAATTCTGCATGAAAATAAAAAAAAAAAAGAAATACAGTAAGCTGGCACTTTATAAAGTCCAGTTAAGTTAATCATTCTAGATGCATGCATCTTGACATCAATTCGTAAGAAAAACACACTCCAAAGTATAACAAAGACAGCACAAGGAACAAAGGACCCCATTCATCCCTGCCTAAATTACTCCATTCAGAAGTGCATTAAGCTTCAGAGCTCCGATTTCAGCATGATCTGAGTCCTTAAGGAGGAAAAAGATGCACATGAAGCCCCCAGAACAGCGTGTTTGCACAGACTGCTGCTAGTTACCTAGTGTCTAACCCAGAGAGGATCAATTTGGCCGCCTGTAAGAATCACCTTATTTTCAGTTATGATTTCCAAAAACATGCACAGACCTCACATGCACACATGTATTTGCTTGCGCAACCTAATTACAACCCGCCTCATCCTTCCCTCTTCTCAAAAGAACTCTACCGCATTTGACATCTATAATAAATATTAACCATTGCCATTACTTAAAATATGTCATATTCATACAAAGGTAAATACCTGAAACTTTTCCTACCCTTCAACTCCACCCCAAGTTTTTACTCTGTGCCCTAAAACAATGTCATAATAATAAGAGCCAATAGGCTGTACTGTGTCATCTTTATTGGTTAATACTGAGTAAAAGAGAGTACCATTTAACTAGCAAGATCCTGGTTCAAAATCTCTTTGCCATGAAGTCAGTTCTGATGTGGATCAATCACACATAGGCATGGATTTGAGAGAACTACCCCCATGGCTGTGTACTGCTTTCAGCTGCATATGCACAAAGATAGCAGCAACATATTTCAGCTTACATTATTCAGGCAGCTATTTATAAAAGTAAAGGGGGATGTATTACAAGCCAGAAATGTTCTACACTGAAAATAAGATCTTGAGAACAAACTTACTTCTTCAGTGTTTGAAATCCATGCTCTTTGTACTGGAGCTCTTGCTTCATGTGAGCTACTTCTCTCTTGAGTTTATTAACCTGTAGCAAGGTGTCACACTTTTAGAATGATGCTTTATATGAATATTTAGGTACAGCACTACTCACACAATTCAAAACTTATTCAGTGTAGGCAGTACTCTAAAAGTTTCCAGATAATCAGCTCGACAGCAGCTAACAGCCCTGACTGCATCCTCATCAGGCCATTGTCACTGGCTTGGGATTTATCCACTACCCAGATGCTACAGCACTTAATAACAGGCTCAAAGGAAGTTACAACCTCATAAGCAGAAAAGCTGAGAAAAAAATCAAGAGAGACAGGAATGAAACACATTTTGATTTTACTCAATGTTTTAAACCTTCCCAGTCATAAAAAAAAAAAAAAAGCATAAAGCATTAAGACAGGAGTTACACTGGAGCAGCAGAAGCCATCCTCCAAGATACCGAACTAAAAGGCCCCACTGCTTGAGTAACACAGCAGGATGATAATAAATATTGTAAATCCACTGACTCTACAGCTTGCTGTTTTATATTTCTCCACAGAGGCCAGACTGACCTACTTTACTGTAGTCCTTTCTTCTTCCCAAACCCAGCTCTGCATGACAGCGCATGGTGCCACTGCGTGCAGCCAAGCCCAGGCGCAAACAGCTGCCAGGCTCCAGGGAGAGCTCGCAGCTCTCCAGAGCTGCAGCGCACCGAGGAGCCAGCACTCGGCTCTGTACCCCGCAAGCACATCTGCACAGCAGCATGTACTGCCAGCTCTCACGTAACTCTGAAGTTAGGGGAAAAAAAAGAATTTCAAACTCTTAAGATGGCAATGTTTGAGAATTCTGATAAATTATCTCCTATATTAAGAACGGCAACATTAGCTCTTTCAGCAGCTTTGGCATCTCCTTTTAGTATTTGCCATGAGGTTTAGAAATATCTGAAGATCACCCGTGGAAGCAAAGGTCCACTCATATAACTTACCCTGGATTTTGTAGTAGCAATTTCCGCCTTGAGGATCTCTGGGTCGTACTTGGAACTTGATGATGAGCCAGAGACCACTAGAACAAATATGACACTCAGTTGAGCAGCTCTAACTTCCTCCCTACTCTTCTACCAGCCCCACCACAAATCAAGACCTCCCACTGCTCCTGCACACCCTGTTCTCCACACCTTGCTGGGTGTAGGCCTTTTATCCATTTTCCAGATCTCTTCTCAACCCTGAAAGGCAGGGAAAGGGTCCAGTCAAGTAATCCACAAAAAGCATATACTAAAGAGGCCAGAGCATGTCCTGCATCTCCAAAGTCTTGATTTGTTCTGGGTTAATACTTAACTCAGACTCCCAAACATTTGCTCCATTCAACAGTGTGGCTTCCTGCATTTCCAATGGCATTTAACAAAACTCAAGAGCCATTTAAAAGAACTGGAGACACTGCATAAAGGTTTACTTTATTTTTTACTTTCTTGTTGAGTAAATAATCCACTGAATGCTTAGAAACAAAAAAAGCGAAGAATAAGAAACTGAAAAATGTAATGCAAGTCCTCTCACCGCCTTGAAGACACAACCGATCATACAGTGTGTCACACCAGATAAAAATCAATGTCCCTTTAAGAGCAGAATTCTCATCAGCAGTTAAAACCCTTCTGCTTCAGAAAGTACAGAAACTCCCAAATGTGCAGTGTTGTTAGAGGCAGCTCCAGGCAAGAGAGATATTTTGATCCTCGCAGCCATCAGTTTATGCTCTGTAAAACATGGCTAAGCATTTCTAGTTTTGTTTCATTGTATTTTTTAAAGACAGATCGCACCACACCAACGTAATTTATGTTCACGGGGTTCTTGGTGTACTGTTCTGGTACACCAGTACTTAGGTAGAGTGCTCTTAAGACCAAAAACTGTACTTCAGAGATGACAGATGAGACCCTAGTCAAATAACAATCCTTCAGTTCACAGAAAACTACTTAAATACTTTTTAACATCAGGCATAGGGATTAGCCAGTGGAATTCACCACCATAAGACGTAACTCAGTAAGACTAAAGCAGGGAGAGGTCAGTCAACTGATGTGGCTAGTAAGAACACAAAAATGTTTGCAATACTAAGGATTATTAATAAAAAATATCTGGAATACCTGCAGGAAATAAATCCAGCTCCTGACTAGTAATAACAATGATAAAATTTGGCCTTCTATAAATATTTCTGCACCAAGTCTTCAAGCAACAGGTACTGATGTTTCCTGTGTGACAAAGAATATGGTGCACAAAACAATGCTCTTCATACTCAAGAGAGATAATCCACCAATGTTAGCTTTTACATGGCATAAAATATAGACCCTTGGCTCCTCGAGACAGTCACTCAACTAACTGGGATGTTAAACTCCAAATGGGCCTGGGAATGCAATCTGAGATGGGCCTTCTGGCCTTCACAGAATGGTAGAGGTTGGAAGGGACCTCTGAAGATCATCTAGCTCAACCTCCAAAAAACAAAAACTGATCTTTCAGCAGGTTCACCTACAGAAACCTTGTTATGACTTTTACTTCCTCCAGACAGTCAAGTTCTTGTTTCGATACTTTAGACAGGGGAACCAAGAAAAATAGTGTTTAACTTCAATTTTTTTCACACTGAGCCAATCACCACATTTTCTCACATTTGTTGAAGTCCATGCCAAAAACCTGCACGCCGACTTTAGCGACTGAGTCAGCCGCCATGGTGTTTCACAACAACTATCCTTTCCCAAGAGGTGCCAGGCAGCCATTGCTTTTAAGACAAACTGAGCAAATGTGGAGAGTGACATAGCATAACACATCCCAGAGGACCAGCTTCAAGCATTTTACTGTCCTAGGGCTTTCACAACTGAGGAAGTGACTGGATGAGAGTTCACAAACTACTCACAGCTGGTCTGAGAGCCCAGTTTGTGCTCCCAAACATCATGCAGCTGCCGATATTCTTGCTGGGCCAACTCAAGCCGCTGCTGTTTCACTTGATAGATCTCCTTCTGTGCAGCAATTGCCTCCTGGGCCAGGACAAGATAGTCTTTCAGCATATGCTCCTGCTCCCGCCGCCATTGCACACGAGGGTCTTCTATCTGCGTAGTTTCTTGGAGAGAAAACACAAGAAGGCAAGATCAATGGCAAGCAGGTTTGTATTGCTGCCTGGAGAAGCTCCACTATTTATGGCAATATTTTAAAATAGGCTCTTGCCCCACCACCTATTAAAGTGGAATCCTAATAAAGAAGCAGAATAAGGACATTTTCCTTTTATCTCAGGAGGTGACCACTGATTCACAGTGAATTTGTATGAGCTCTGCCATGCTGATCACTGTATAGAACAACTCATGATGAGATTGTACAACTCTCCAACGCCCCTGCTGCCGAGGCCATCCTGATTCTACCTCTTAAAACATCCACACAAGCACATGCACACAGAAGCTCCAAGATACTGACACTGACTGTCAGACTTATCTTTATCTTTACAGCATTACTAACAAAATACCTCTACTATTTCACTGAAAAAAACCCAGCTTTCAGAAAACATCATTGCCCTATGAGTGCTTTATACTGCATCTGACAACATGAAAGCAATTACGAATGTCTGTCCTTTTTGGCTGCCAAGTGGCTTTTATCAAAAAGGGGAAAGAAAACCTTCTTCCTGAGATTCCATAGCTAAGGAAAAAAACTCATTAAATCACAGAATGTGTTCATGAAAGCATCTCAAATGATATTATATAAACAGGATCTCAGAAGAAGAATAAACATTTCCTTCACTGAAAGCAGGCACAGCAGCAAATCACTGCAGAATACAGGAGGCAGAGTTTAAGAAAAATATTTTTGGTAGCATAGCCAACGCAGTCATGAACAGCTACACCACTGCCACCTCCATTACCCCAACATAGCCAACACATTGCTTTTCAGGTTTCTAAGCGTGCATAGGGTCAGAGACAGGCAGCTAGTCCTAATGATAATTAGGCAAATTTGTTGTCAGTATGTGTCTTGGTTTTGTGAAGAAGTGTCCAAAATATTTTTTTCTCTCTTATATGGTCTTGCTTGGAACAGGTTCCAATATTCAGTTGACTAAGCGCTCTAAATTGTCTAAACTACTATGTTTGCCTAAAGATCACAGAATCACAGAACGTTAGGGATTGGAAGGGACCTCAAAAGCTCATCCAGTCCAATCCCCCTGCCGGAGCAGGAACACCTAGATGAGGTTGCACAGGAAGGCGTCCAGGCGGGTTTTGAATGTCTCCAGAGAAGGAGACTCCACAACCTCTCTGGGCAGCCTGGTCCAGTGCTCTGTCACCCTCACTGAGAAGAAGTTTCTTCTCAAATTTAAGTGGAACCTCCTGTGTTCCAGCTTGTGCCCATTACCTCTTGTTCTATCATTGTTTGTCACCGAGAAGAGCCTGGCTCCATCCTCGTGACACTCACCCTTTAAATATTTATAAACAGATGCCCAGTTACGACATAATGAATAATTAATAAAAATGAGCTGCTTGAAACTATTGGTGGAAATCTAATCTGCGTATCCTAACAGTCTCTTTAAATATTTAGCAAAAGCTGCCATGGCAGCAGGTACGAGCAGCTCTTAAGCGAGGCAGGCATATAACACCGTAATATACAGGATGTAGGGAAGAGAACAGTTTGACAATAATTCTGAGTACAGAGCCAGAAAGAAAGGATTTTACCCAAGGGAAGGACACTCAACCATCACAGAGTCACAGAATAACAGGAGTTGGAAGGGACTGGGAAAGCTCATCCAGTCCAACCCCTGCCAGAGCAGGGTCACCAGAGCAGTCACACAGGAACAAAAATGTTGGCCAAGGGCTCTCGATCTGCCCCAGCTACTGAGAAATGTAAAATACATTCATCAGACGAAAGGACTACTGAAATGCAAGCTATTACATCACTTGTTGTCTTGTGAATTTTTAATTTAATGTTGAGCTTGTCATAAATAAATGTGATTGTTTCATGTCTGAAGAATGCAGTCTTACTGTGCTTCCATCAGCATCTGGCAAGAAAATCATCATTCCTTTGTGCAAATCAAATTCTAAAAAAGTTCTCCCAGAAAGGCACACTCACGGCTATCCATTAATACTGTATTAGAAATATTCTGGGTACCTAACTCAATTATATTTATTCTGCCTCAGAGAGAAAGTTAGAAATGTTCACCACCTCCCGGTTTTAGATTTAGTTTACGTCTGTCCTTAGGTTTCTATCTAATAAATAGTCTCAACTACACCAAGTGTGCAGCAAGAAGTGACATGACTCCATCCCCCTCACACCCTCTGATGATGATTACCTCTTGCACAGGGAACCGGCAAGAGACCTTGGAGAAGAAGGTGGTTTTGGACACCCTCCAGAGGATACTTCAACACGAACCACAAAGATGAGCCTCTTGGTTAGCTGCAGGTAAGTGGATATGGTATCCTGCATCATGATTTGGATTAGAGCTTGCATAAGAAATAGGGTCATGATTTTATTTCTCTTCTTTTTATCTTTTTAATTGAAATGCTAGGTCAAGTCTTGTAGCCTCTGGTATCCCATAGCAGTGAAACTTTTTAGGAGCAACTGCTATTAAGCAGGTGTTGTCATGGTTTGAAGCCTTCTCTGCACACCCTTGAAGCCCACAGTGCTTTTGAGTGGCACGGACCTGACCTACAACTGGATCTTTTATGCATTTACCCTGGGGGCAACTCAAATGTTGGTCACATTTGGTTTGTCCCACCTACATGCTGCAGTTTCTGCTAGCTGAAACACTCGGGAGCTCTGACAAGCTTCCATGTCCCACAGCAGGCTTCAGATCAAGGGGCTCTTCCTGTACGTGAACTGTCTCTCCCAGGGACCATAGCTAGCCATCCTTGTTTGGGCAAATGCCAGTGGAGTCGGTTAATGCCCTGCTTTTGCCTAAGATGGGCCACAGTGACAACAAGCACTCAGCTTCTCCCAGTGTAGATAGAAGAGAAAGACAAATGAGAAGATAAAATTACATCTCAAACTGAAGAGAAAGTTCAGAGAGGACAAAGAAAAGACTCTGAAACATCCTCTCATTTTACTTGAGCCAAGTTTTTCCTGTGGCCAGAGGTGATGTTGATGTCCACTTCAGAAGGTGGGCTGAAGATTATTTTTTTGGGGGACAATGCTAGCTCCCACAGCACCTGCAGAGGCTTACATCTACTGCGACAGTCCATGTCACCACCTGATAAACCACAGGAGAGAACTGATCCAAAGGAAGAACCATCAAGCCCCACAGACATCCTCTAGAAAGGGACAGGGAACAAACAGCTTTCTCACAACCAATGTATGAAAAAAACTGAATTGGCAGAAACCTCTTAATCCAACACTGCTCCTAAACAGCAAACCCCTTCAGAGTCCCTGGGAGGTGGCATGTCCCTTTATCTGGGCTGCTCTTGGCCTGGAGCACCGTGGTAGGTGCCTCCCACAACCCAGCATCAGAAGATGGAAGAGAAGTCCAACCGTATTTCTGACTTGCCTGGACTGCTTGCCCAGGCTCTTCTCTCTCCCTCGCGGCACAGTCATGAAAACATTAAATCACACCCGAGAAGGTAAAAAGTAGTCTTAACAAGACTTCTGAACTTGGTTCTTACTCCTTTTGTAAGTGTGGCCAGCACAGGAATAACACAGAACCAAGTGAGACTGGAAAAACCATTAAGATTCAGACTGTGTTTAAAAAGCAACCTCATTGTTAGCTCGCTAAAGTGCTTTCTTGTGGAAGTGAAATGGACACAAGACACAGTCTTACAGACCTATAGGAGACCCCAATTTGTGTCTTGCAATTTAGCACCTTCTCAAGGAAGGTTTGTCCAGTCCTCACCCTAGCAGATCCTCCTCTGTGTGATCCTGTGGCTTCTCTTTCTTCCCCACTATCTTTCCTGTAAAAGGAAAATATCAACATCCCCTGCCTCAGAGAAAAATAATTAGAATGAAGTAATTTAAAGATACGTAAATACTGTGATATTGGGATGACATAAGCTCTAAAAAACATTTGTGTCATTGTCACATCTGGAGACATTTGATCTTTGTATTGCAGAGGGCAGTGAGTGCTTTTTAAGAATAAGCATTTTTCATCCTGCATTTTTAATATCCAAGAGAAGCCTGCTAAAACCTGGAAGGTGCAGTCTCTGGCCACGTTAAAACGTGGGAAAGGGAAAGGTAAGAAGATAGCCAAGAAAAAAAAACAACCCAAAAAACCAACCACCTTCTACAGTTTTATTTTAAAAAAAGATCTTATAACTTGTTAAAAAAAACAAAGACTGCTGAAGTTCTCAGGTTTAGTCCTAGAAGCAGATTAAAAACGAAGAAACAAAACAACCAGCTTCAAGGGACTTTTGTCTTTTAAAAATTTCTCTTTGCATGAGTTACAGGCACCCCAAAAGGGACTGGGCATGGCTCTGCTGTGAACATCTAGACTGCAGTTGGCGCTGTTCTGTACAGAGAACCAAAGTCAGTGATGTATTTTGTTTATTACCTTTTTCAGGGAATTTGTTCTAGCACAACCCAATACATGTCCTAACAATGTCTGTAATGATATAAAAAGTTCTCTGTCTTCTTAGAATCCAAATGAGCTTATAAAGCCTAATACTTCTGGTCTATCAAGCAATTTAACAAAGACAGTAAGCAGCAGTTTGAGGATACAGAATAAAAACGCCATAAGCCTTAACTTCACTCTTTTCCAGCTTGCACATCTCTCAGGACATCCACAGCCTACTCGAGAGTTCCCGCTCCAGCAAATGCGGCACAAACGCCTGCAGCCACAGGAGCTGACGCAGTCACTCGGTCTGTCCCTGTCAGGGAATCAACACCAGACCTTTGCACTATTTCCAATGGTCTTGCCACAGGGACAAATTCCAGCCTGAGAACAAACTCCAGATCCCTGCTCAGACTCCTCAGCAGCACCAAATCTGAGAGGTGTGTCCTTAGTATCGGCTTGAACATGACTGCTAATTTGAAGACTGCAAACCAAAAGGTCTCAAACGCCTGTTTCAGAGAGGGAAGAAACTTGTATGATAGAGAAGGACAGGATTTGATTTCTTGAGCTGCAGATTTTACCCACTCTAAAACATGCTGTTAGCAATTTTGTGCGTTTCTGTTCAGTATGTTTTAACACAGGTACAAAACAATCACTCTGCAAAAATAAAATAATGTGTCACTTACTGGTGTTGTGGTCTATGTAATAAACTCCAACCTGAGGGTCATAAGCTTCTTCCCATCCTAATGGCAATTCATCACTAATGCAGTCTGCAAAGGTTAGTGGTTTAGTATACCTGAAATATAAAATAATATTTAGGATGAGTAAAAGAACACTCCCACACATCTCTTCCAAAAAACTGACCAGAATACAAGTACTACAGGGGCTTTGGTATAGAAAACAAAGGAAGTTGAAAACTACCTTAAAGCTTTCATTCCTATCAAATAATATTCTAGAAATTCTTCCCTCTCCTCATCTGAGGTTACAGCAGGATGAATTCATTCTGACAGAGCTCCTGAGCCTTGCCCGGTTCTACCAGCACTCGCTCGACAAAGGAACACTAAGGACTTTGCCAGAAACAATCCTTTTCTCTCCAGTGAAAGAATGAGAGTGTTTGCAGGCAAGTCCTCTATCAAAAATATGTAGACAAGGAACAAGATGAGAAATGCAATTTGCATAGCATGAATAATGAAGACTGCTAAATCAATAGCAAGTCCAATAGCAGGACTGTGGGACCACTCGTCATGCAACTCCACTCATTTGCATTGCAGTATGTTCTGGTGCTGTTTCATTAATGACAAGCTAGATTAGTTCTGTCTAAGGGCTGGTCTCAACTTCACACACATTAGGCAAACCAGTTAGTTTGATAATACTTCAGCATAACTGCTGAGGACTTGTGTTGTAATTATTTGATTACCCTTATCAGCATGACGTTATTCTTCCATGGCCCGGTATTTTATTTACAAAAAAAAAAAAATTTCCACCTACAGTCCATGATAAAACCTAGATTCAGTGTTTATTAGATGTTATTTGGAACCGGGGAAAGAAGGAATAGTCAGTATTTACTCAACGATATATTTAACACCAGCAGGGGTAGGGTGTACCATCCAGGTCACACACAGTCCAAGTGGTCTTATCCAGTGCATCATTTGATTAGTTACCCTCAAAATATTGCTAGGAATTGGTTTTATGATTGCTGCTTTGCTACTTCTACAGAGAGCTTTGTCAGAAGAGGTGTAATTTCATCCTGGGTTTGCACAGTCTCTAACCTTATACACCAGCTTCTATTGATTAAACCAGAAACCAGGCATTTCCCATGTCCCATCTACAGTGTCCAACATTTTTGGCATGTGATCCAAGCAAACATCCCTCAACATAGTGCAGTAATTCAACCAATACTTGAAGTATATTAGGTGAGGGTGCGCTGCAGGTGTAAAACACTGCAGTAGCTTAATCTGTATTACACGCATTGAGCTGAGTTTTCTGCAGCAGAATTCTGCTCAAGAATCACATCCAAGATTGAAATTAAACTCTTCTTTTACCCCCTCCTAGAAACAGCATTGAGCTACACTATCAGCCCCAGGATCTGGGACTACTTTCATCAGGAAATGACGCTGTAGTGCCAGCCTCAATGCTCTGAAGTTTAATACCAAACTCGCAAAGCTTCTGCTCAACTTTTGTCCAGCCCTATTTTGCCGGAAGCACATGAATTTTCTTCTAGATGTGCTCAGGAACTCGATAGGAAGCCAGGACCAAGCAAGTGAGGGATATTTATTCCTATTTTTCATATGAAGAACAAGGCATGAACTACATCCAGTCAGTTCATTCAGTTGGAGTTTTGGAAAATGGGGTGAAAAAGCAAGGTAGGGTAAGTCTGCTATTGCCATGACACAAGCCAGCTAGAAACTGCCAGTTACTAGGGCTCAGAAAAACAGAAATTTCACCTTCGAGATTCAGATTTTCAGCACATTTCAGAAGGAGCACCCACCACCAAGCACAGACTAGTGCTGTCCTTCCTGGCTGAGCGCAAGCTTGCAACTATCCCATTTGTACAGACAAGTATTCATTAAAGGAGAAATCTGTCATTCAACTAGCAAACAGAAACATGATTAGTTTTAGAATTAAGAGAGTAATTCCATTTATTACAGACAAAGTATGTCATATAGCTATTTCCCTAAATAACTGCAGCTTCATAGCCAAATTACTTACTCTTCTAAACATCTTTTGCTTGCTGACGTGGGAAAAACTGGCACAGATCAAAGAGCCAATGTTACAAGTACAGATGAAAGACATGCAGTAAGTTGCACAGGTGCATAAGGGATAAAAAGAAAAAAGGAGATGGTTTCCTTGTTTAAAAATTTTACTTTAGGGGTCGTTATGAAGACTGAAATAAAACAATTTTCCAGAAGGAACCCTAAGTCAAGCATCTCCCTAAACACACTCACAACGTAGCATGATGGATTAAACGAGCAAAAGGTAAAGTTTCTTTCTCACAGCAACACGTGATTCAGTTATTTCTGCATAAAACAGGACTATTTCTGCATATGGGAAGTTAAAGCTAGGGCTTCATCTGCAGAACTATTTTTTGAAACATCTACTTTGCAATTCACAATTCGCAGCAGCCTTGGAAAAAATCTCATCAATTCGGTCAAACCACGTTATCATATAATAGGTCCTCGCTGTAGCTACTCTCAAAGCAGCAGTGTAGAAAAATGGAAACCATTTACCTGCTGTGCTTATAATTAAGGAAGCAAACCTATAAAAGGATTTATGCATTCCTTATCCTCCTCTGTTAAGGAAATATCCAGATACATTCCTCCAGCTTTCAAAAGAAAGCAACACACCCAAAAGTTCAGAAAATCCTGACTTTGTACGACTTCTGATCTCGAGTCACAAAAAAAAAGAATGAAGGAGGAAGACTGGAAGTCTGTAGGTACAGCATTTTTCATTAAACCCAGTCCAGTTAAATGAGATTACACTTTCAGGCATATGAGTTTGGCTGCATCTTCCAGCCACACTCGCTTTGCCATAACACCCCTCAAAGCACCAGTCCTACCCCTAAGTGCTCCACCTGTCTCTGAGCTGGAACTTGGTGTGCAGTTCCTACGAGAGAAGCCAGCCTGAGCTAGAGAAGATATCTGTAAATCACAGCCTGGCTTTCTAGCTCATCAAAAACTAACCCACGAGTTCATCTCAAATCAACTTACCTGTACCTCACGTTCATTCTACCTGTGACTGCTCTTCCTCCATTACCTAAGTTTTAATCAAAGTAATTTTTTTGGAACATTCAGGATTTTGAAAAAGACACATCAATTTAGACTTAGCAATTTCCATCATATTTTCTTAGTTTTCGGTGTTATTTTTCCATTCAATTTCATTCAAAGAAATGCAAATTTAGTTGAGCAAGTGCAATTGCTCATTTGGACACCTGAAAACTAGGTACGCTTCGCAACCACCGCACACAGCAAGTCAAGGACACCATTTCAGAAAGTGATGTGATAACAGAGGTAGAAGACAGCAGCATCACCTGACTTCCTAACCTGAGGAGTATCTTAGTCTTCATACAGAAGCAGGATGAAGGGAAAGCCATTGCCCACTCATTGGCCAGTGAACAGACCAAGACACTTCCATTTGCAAAACACTTGCGCCTAGTAGCTTGAATATTTGTATACCAAATGTTCAAATCCCACTCCCATAGTAGGAAACAAAGTTAATTTCCTCACTCTAGTTTATAATTCACATTTCTTAAATGAGAAAGTTTCCATATTTCTTACAATTTTTGATCTGTCACCTTCAGCTTCTTTCACAGACAAAACTGGAAGCCAATGTTATCATGTGAGAACATACTGAATGGAAACTTGCTCATCTCAGATTCAGAAAGCCTTTCCACAGTCTTTAACTCCACTGTTGTCAATCAAAAACCTCATTACATAAGAAACTGAAAGCAAATAATCCTTGTATAACAAGTTTTTGATTGACAGACTGTTTGTTAAACGCAGCTGTAAGATCACAGAGGTTCCTGACAGGAGCAGGGATAGGTGAACTGTGCCACACACAAATCTGGAGTTAATACTACAAAGGCAACAGAAATCAATTCTGAGTTTCTTGAAACAGGAAACATTTTTTGTAATTACTGGGCTGCAGTGCCAATTGGTGGCCTACAGCAATCTAGCAAACGCACACCCAGCTTTTTAGGTAAATGCCAGTGTGAGTGCACATATGCGTGCAGACAGCAAACAGTGCACTTGGGTAACCACGATGTTAAGCATTTATAAACCAACAGCGGATTGTCAAGTTTCTTTGTCATATGTAAACCCACTAAATCCCTGTGTTTGCAAGGTTCCTCAAACCTCCGTAACACAGTAAAGCCATTTAAACAGCAGTGCCTTATGTTAATCAGTTCAGGACAGATCACACGGCCTTATATAAAACCCACTGTGAATCTATATGAGTCTCTACAGAGCAGGGGTTGGCCTGCAGTTTACTGTAGCGACAGTCATGGCTCACTGCATAAGGAACAAAGGCAGCACCTGGATCACTTGGGACCTTCACATCAGCTCCTCTTACAGCTACAGCATCGGCCACCAAAACCTGACAACTCCTTTCATGTCTCCCCTTCCCTCCTGCGCTCACCGGCAAGTGTGACACACACAGGCTTCACGGGCAAGCCGAGCACCATCAAACTGCAAGTTCTGGCAAATATTTCCACTCATACCATTCGTTATAAAACCAGACAGCTTTTAAACCCAGCATTTTGAAGGAGAAGCTTGGAGTTAGGTTTCATTTCAATGGCTTCCACTACTATAATTTATTTATAACACAGCATCTCTTTATTCAAAACTCACTGCTCATAGACGATAGGATGTGCTACATAGACAAGAGTCAAGAATAGGCTGAAAGCACTGCAGTGCCAGCTATGACACCAGGGGAGCCCCATAAGCAATCCCCACGGGTCTAAGTTTTGAGGAATCCGTTAATGGGTAGAGCTCCGACTGTAACTCAGGAGGCTGCTGCAAGAATCATTGCCAGGAGGCTCGACACAATGCTGTACAAGCATCTTTGTTTTTAATGAGGTCATTCCATTCTCAAGACAGACGATGATTATTTTTAAACTTCAGCATAGAAAAACCCATCCCTTTACAGACAAATTTTCTGGGACTACAGCAATCTCCTCCTCAAAAAAGCTTTTAAAAACAGACTCCTACACATTTATTACTCAACTTGGTGATACAGCCCTCAGACACAGCAGGGCTATCCATCACTGCAGTACGATTTTCCCTGGAAGCATCT